CCGAAAAAGAAAAGAAGATATTGAAAATCACAAAATTGATGAACTGTATGAATTTTCCAATGATTCAAACCGTGATTTAAAGTTTTAGACGGTCGACAGACATGAGAATTGAGGAGAATTCGAACGACGTGTTTCGCTGTGGTACGTGTTGATACGGTATTGTAAATAAATACACATAAATACAAATATGGCGAAATGATATGAACAAACAGTTGATAAATAGAAGAAAAGACATTATACAAGGCTGGGATCTGTGCAGTCACTAATATCACCTTCCAAAGGAAAGGGGAAAAAAAGAGAAAAGGAAAAAAAGAGAAAAGAAGAATTAGTCACGCAGCCAAGTAGGAAACCCGCCAAACAGGGCTTAATTTTGTTGAGTCTACGAGGCGCAGTGCTGTCCTGGTGGTATTAATATTACCACTCTACGCTGGATACATTTTTTTTTTATTTTTAAGATCTGTCAAAAGGTAACAAAGACAAAGAAAAAAAATCACTGATATTGGCTGGAAAAATAAAGAACAACAAAAAATAAGATGAAAATGAGAATTATTACTTGCTTTGGTGATCGGGCAAGAAGCGGTACTTTCTTTATAATTGTCTAGGACAAGTATAGCCGATAACTTCATAAATGTTTTCAACGGTGTTNCCGAAAAAGAAAAGAAGATATTGAAAATCACAAAATTGATGAACTGTATGAATTTTCCAATGATTCAAACCGTGATTTAAAGTTTTAGACGGTCGACAGACATGAGAATTGAGGAGAATTCGAACGACGTGTTTCGCTGTGGTACGTGTTGATACGGTATTGTAAATAAATACACATAAATACAAATATGGCGAAATGATATGAACAAACAGTTGATAAATAGAAGAAAAGACATTATACAAGGCTGGGATCTGTGCAGTCACTAATATCACCTTCCAAAGGAAAGGGGGAAAAAAAGAGAAAAGGAAAAAAAGAGAAAAGAAGAATTGGTCACGCAGCCAAGTAGGAAACCCGCCAAACAGGGCTTAATTTTGTTGAGCCTACGAGGCGCAGTGCTGTCCTGGTGGTATTAATATTACTACTCTACGCTGGATACATTTTTTTTTATTTTTAAGATCTGTCAAAAGGTAACAAAGACAAAGAAAAAAAAATCACTGATATTGGCTGGAAAAATAAAGAACAACAGAAAATAAGATGAAAATGAGAATTATTACTTGCTTTGGTGATCGGGCAAGAAGCGGTACTTTCTTTATAATTGTCTAGGACAAGTATAGCCGATAACTTCATAAATGTTTTCAACGGTGTTACATCTCCTCGTGTATTCTCTAGCCCTTGCGTTTTCTTAGCAATGCCAGTGGGCTTTAACTTTAACCCTACGGATTAAAACCTCAAGTTAGTGGCATTAAAATTGTCACTGTTTACGGACGATCCCTAAGCTTATTTAAATCTATGCGATATTAGTTTATTATTTTATTTAATCTTTTTATCCATTTAAGGTGGCTCCCTAGAGTATTTACGGACACCCACCCTATAGAGCGCCAGTTAGAAAAGGAAACTCACTTAATTCCTCTTAAAGTTTTCCCCGCAGAGATTTACCAGTATAGGTACTGTTAAAGTAAGGCTTATTTTTTGGTTGTCAATTTTTGGATTAGGGCCGTTACCATGGCAACATCTCATCTAAGGACAGGCAGATATATTCTTCATTTTGGCCTAAACACCTTAATATTTATACTTTCCTTCGGTGAAATTTTTTCATATTTTGCCACACTGCATGGAAATGACATTGTCTGACATTTTCAATTGATAAAAAGTCAAGGTTGTTTGGACGGTTTTTCCAATATTCTGTCAAATTTTCCATATTTGTCTATTTTCCAATGTTTGTCATTCTCCTAATATATTAGATTAGCTTTGACATATTTTAACAAATATAGGATATTTTATAGGAATTGCATGTGGCTGGAACTGGGCCAAATTTAAAAAATTCACCGAAGGAAACGCGAGAAAATTCACTGGCAGTTTTCCTTTTTTGTGCTCATGTTGACGTCATAAAAATCGAAAAAAAACTGACGTTTTCCTTTGAGCGCGCGCAGATTACTTGAGCTTTCGGCCTATGCGCGCGTGCTATCGTAAAACTATACGGAGCCACCTTAATTGAGTAATATCTTCACACTTAATCAATTCGAAATGGTTCATCACAATCAAGTCAACAAAGAAACAACTGTTCTCTGACGTTACATGTACAAGCAACCTTCTTGGTTGACGACATAGACTGCGGACAGTCTCTCTTTTGCTCGAAAATCCATGGGGAAGAAAGCAAAGAACGCAATACACGCGAGCGGTTCGTGAGCGTCCGAGCGCCACGAGCCGCCCACACTACTCGCAGCTCCGCCGCTAGCCACTCGCATGTCACACTGGAAGTCACACTTGTTTAGCTTTCTTCATTGCGTTCTTCCCCAACGGATTTCCGAGCAAAAGAGAGACTGCTCGCAGTCTATTGAGGACATCAAGATCAACAGTGTTTAGCTGCTCTCGTGGAGTCTAGGAGCCATTAGAGAAACGATCTTGTTGATGGGAGGTTCCAGGATTGCGGACTTGGTCTTCAGCCTGATTCTCCTCTCAAGCCCGTCTCTCTTGTTTGATTTTACTTTCAAGATGCGACCAAGGGGCCACAAGTTTTCTCCACGAGTACAATGTCTTCAGTTTCAAAGTAACACCTTTATTTTTGCAGGGATTGCCTTCTCTCTCATAGCAATTAAAATCCCAGTTTAATAGTGACTTTTAAAAGCAAACTTTAACCGAATGGAATAAAACTAACCTTAAGCTCACAAGTACGCATTGCGGACCTATTTTTTGAATGTGAGGACAGGAGGAGCTATAACCAGGGAAAGGGGTGAGGGCAACCATTAGTGTCACAACAACTGTATTTTATACAACTGGTTTTTATATATACTACTAGAATGTATATTATTTATAAAATGGAAAAAGGGAAACTAGAGTTAGGAGTTAGGAGGCGTGATCTGAGTTCAAGTAACTGCAACAGATTTTATGATTCCCCACCTAAGTACACGCCCCGCNCCCCCCCCGCCCCCTCTCCTTCCACCATCATTTAGAGTTACGCCATCCTAGACTTGGGACAAAGTCATCTTTACCTTTCTACTCCCTGAGAGTGCCATGTTCTATGAATTTTTGCCACGAAAATTGTCTTGTAAAGATCTACTCATTCAGTGCATAAAATTGTGACCCCCTCCTACCTAAGACATGACTGACCACCCCCCCCCCACAAGTTTCCAATTTCTTTTTTTGATATGCACATGCATGGAATGCAAGACTTGTTTCAAATCAAGCTATGCACTACGACCTGCTAAATAAGCTATATTTCAGGGGTATACCCATGAATTTGAGAGTTGATACATGTTGGAAGTTTAAATTCAGTTTCAAAATTTAAAGCAATTTCTCCCAAATTGACTACCTCCTTGATAGCGGCTGATGTCAGTTCTTAAACAAGCTGATCAGTGGCTTTCAAATGGTATATTGTACACAGGCAGAGAGTCTTTATTTGCTGATTTGGGAAAAACTGCCGTTTGCTTCAGGGGGACATTACTACCTTAAAATTTGTTTGTACTCTAACCCATATAAATAACATACATGCTAACACCGGTCGATTGAATCAGAGGATATACATGTTTATTAAAACAGCTGGCTTCATATACAAGTCCATACAAAAAATACTTCATAAAAATAATTTAATACTTTACAAGACTAAGATTGTTATAATACATTGCAGTTATGTGGCAATAAATAGTTAGAATGCTCTTTTAGCTAGATTCATTCTTGGCATACACCATGTAGACAATCAATACCTAGTTTTCTTTGACTTTGAAAATAAGACCCTATCCCACAATCTCTTAAAGCAAATATACCACAAAATATTATTTTGCTTGCTTTGAATACCTAAAATGCTCATAAAAGCCTTGAATTACAGCTGGGTTAAATTGCAGTAAATATGTGTGACAATATTTTTATAACAATAAAAACATAACAACTCAAAACACCACCACGTGCAACATTGCTAAATACTTCTCTTTATGTGAGAAATATGTAACCTTTTTGGCACTAACTATCACCTATGAGTTTTTCAAAGATTTTCCTTTACATGTCAACATTGGTGTGATTTAAGTATAATTGAATATTATTTTTTTTCAAACACCAAGTTTAGCATCATTAAAACACTTGCTAAGTGTATTAAAATTATTAATCTTTTTTTTTTTTCTGCATTAATAACGTAATGCTCGAAATCTTTTGCCGTCCACAATAATTTATCCAGGAATACAACTTTGCATAAGAACACATATGATCTAGCTAACTTTTACTACAAACCTAATTTTATATTAACATCAATGTATCATAAGACTAATCTGGTCTTCAAAAGTTCTTTATCATCGCTGCCATGGTCATTGCTTTGTGGCCCTAATTGTGTTTCTTAATTATTGACCTCTTAATCAGTATGCCAACAATGCAGGCAATGTCGATATACATATAAATTTTAACACGAGGTGATATTTATCAAGGCCAGCTTGATATGACTGGGTAGAGCACTGTTTAGTGCCCCTCAGCTGAATGACAGCCGTCTGTGTAAGTCTCTTGTGCAAGATGAAGGCAGGTAATGGAAAACAGATGTACTAGAGGATGAATCTGATAAGAGGACATCAACAACTTGTTTCCAGTGGTCAAAGCTGATACAGGAACTCTGTAATTAATTCAATTGTTAAAATGTAGATGAGTATGAGGTACAGTCAAACCTCGATTATCCGGACCTCGATTATCCGGACTATTCGATTATCCGGACTTTGTTCTCTGGTCCCAATTTTTTCATGAATATTAATTAGTTGTGATCTTGAAAACTCAAAGTCACAAAAAGCCCAATAATCCTTTCAAAACACTGTTGAAACAGCATATTATCCTGTGCGATAATATCGCCGAGTCCATGGTCGAAATGTTGGAACATGTACAGCAACTTGACAATGAGGAAATGCCTAATGCTCACGATGTGGAAGACTGGCTTAACTNCAAGGCTGTGTAGATTTCACAATTAAAATGATGTTTTCTTTGCTGTATATCTTTTGTTCACATATCTATCTCATTAATATTCATGTTTTCGATTATCCGGACTCTCGATTATCCGGACTATTTACCGAGGTCCTGACGAGTCCGGATAATCGAGGTTCGACTGTACACTAATCATTGAAAATCAGAAACATCATGGTAACACATGTATACATCTATATACATACATATACAATAATTACTGTAAAGTTCTCCTTTTGAAAGTTTCATAACTGAACAATCCATTACTGAAGAAGCTAAATCCATTTTACATTCAAGAAACATGACAACGACTATTTTGAGAATCATTATTTACGAAATAGAAAACATGTAGTGTGTTTCTAATGAGTTATAAACACGAGTGGAAGTTTGGGAGAATGAGAAATGCTGTTGGAACACGAGCCACAGGCAAGTGTTTCCAAAGCTTTTTCAAGTTCTCCCAAACTTTCACGAGTGTTTCTATAACTCAATAGAAACACAGAGAACATGTTTTCTATTTCTTTTAAAAAACACCACGAAGAAAAAAAGGAAAACAACTTGTTAACTTTGATTATCTAAATGTTAATTCTCTTTGCTTGCACAATCATTACGTCAACAGCTCGTGCTAGTTCTGTGTTTCTATTGAGTTATAGAAACACGAGTTATAGAAACACGACCAATCAGTGCGTGTATTTTCTTAGGACTGTTTTCTAAAATATTATATTAACACAACAAAAATGTAGAAAATACAGTGCTTCATAGCTTGGACAGTGTCCAAACTATGCCATAAAATATAATAACAATGTTCCCACCTGTTCAAGAGCAGAGCAATCCTTTCCTCTCTTCAAGTAATGTGTCTTCCAGAATTCTAGCAGAAGTCTAAATCACAAAGAGAGTATTTAAACATTATAATTTTCAGTTACTTATTCAATGGTACGTTTGATTTACTTACTTTTCACTGACATCACTACCATTAATTAATTGATTGTTGTCAGGCAACAATTTAGAATATAGAAATTCATTGATTGGGGATATCATCTTGATGTGCTACCAAGTTCTTTAAAGCAACATTAAAAGATATGTCTGGTAAACAGTAGGGAGAATTGATATCTTGACACTGGGACTGAAATCCTCACCTCAAGTTTGTCAGGATAAATCCTGGATTCTTCTGAATGTTCTCTTCTCTGACAAAAGCCTACAAGAAAAGACACCTAAAAGTTGTGGACAAATCGTTTACAATACGCTGTTATGATACTTCTATTTTAATTTATACATAGACAAAACCGGCAAAAACAAAGCTTGGATACTTTCGATCACTATAGGAATCTGCTGAAAATAAAATGATATTTACTTACCATAAGGTAAGCTGGAAGACGTCCATGCCTGTGTGCAAACATCAGGAAAACAAGAGTGGTGTTCAGACAGCTAACATTCTCCTGAAAAAGAAAGTCAATGGATGATGAGTATCTCAAAAAAAAACAACAACAACAAAAAAATCCACAAAGATACTCTAGCATTCTGGACATGTTTCCATTTTCTTCTGTGCTTGGCAAAGTCACAGCAACCACTGTCTGTAAGCTGGCATGGTTTTCTTCAGGAATAATGGTAACCAAAGAATACATATTTGTCTAGTACAATAATCAATAGCAGTTTTTTTTTTTTTTTTTTTTTTTGCTGCAACATTCATAGTACTGTTGCACAATCGTATAAAATGGATACAATGGTAGCTGATGTGAGGCCAAGATACCTAAAACCTACCTAGAAATTGTCCCGATGTACATGTACAGCTAAATTAATATTTCATGGTCAAAACTGATGATGTACATGTATGGTTGCTTCAGTGATATACACTTACTTGTGTAAGAGTTCCGACTGTGATTGAGTTGATCAGCTTGTACAGAAGGAAAATCATCTGCTCCCAGTTATTGATAAGAGTGCCAAGCTTACAAGCCTCAGTGGAAAAATCTGTTAATAAAAAATAGAGCAAAAAAAAAAACGTTAACTCAAATGAATGTCATTAGCAATAAAAACTACAATAACCTATTGTCATAGGCATATACAATGCATGCAGGGAGCTAATAGATTCATTATGACTTTGATCTTGGAGGAAAATTGCAAACAGAGCTTGGCAATTTTTGGAGAGAGAAGTAAACAGGGCACACAGTCTTACCAGTGGAGAAGCGGCTTGACATGAAGTGTTCTTGAGATAACACCAGACAGCGAATCAACATGTTGGAATCCACTACATTTGAGGTCAGGATGGACACAAACTTCTCAAACTATGAATCAAACAAATTGAAATTAACAATAATCAATAAAGGCAGTATTTCTTAAGGCATTTTTTCAGTTAGCAAATTCTTCAGTTGGTTAGAATAAATGAGAAGAAGAGAAATTAACATATATAATAAAATATATAATAAAATTTTAGTAGTTTACTGGAACATTGACATCAGCATTTGCAGCATTAAATTGTGCTTGCTTACCTGTTTATCACTGATGACCTGGTCAAATCTCTTGAAGGCAAACAGATTAAACTTCATCAGCTCTCCAAGGAGATCAAAGCTACTTTGCAGAATTTCCTTGGGCTTCAGTTCATCACTTGTGATGTGATCAACAAGGTGCTAAAGGAGAAATGAAAAATTCAGGTTATGACATGCAGTGAACTAGTTTAGGGAGCAATAAAACTTATAAATGAAATTTAGAATTTGAATAAGTTTATAATTCATCTTTAATATGAATATGTTTTCAAAATAAAAATTTAAATAATCAAAATATCTCTATTAATACCTCAAGTAGTCCCCTCTTGATAAGAAACAACTGGTCTCCTACAGATGCTCTCCCCCGAAGAAATCCTTCAATTGCCCTTGAAAGCCAAAACCTTCAAAAAGATATCAGAAAAGAATTCAAATTAGTTTAACACTAAAAGTGCTAATTAACCTACTTCTTTTACTATTCTAACCTCTTTGCACTGAAGAACCAAGAAAAAATATGTTACAAAGAAAATGTAATTACCTTAGTGGTGCCGTTGTGGGACATCTAATCAGAGTCTCTAGAATTTTGGTAAGAAGTCCTTTTTCTCCAACACAACAGAGCTTTCTACAAGCAAAATGAAAACATATGATTATATTAATTGACTGATAAACAAAAGCAAAAGTTACCAGAATTGTACCAGTAAAATTTAACCATCATTTCTAAATTGGATTTATGGAACTGGCAAAGAAAAGAAATAATAATTATAATCATAAATTACAGGAGAAATAATTATTAAGAATTATAAATTAAAGGAGAAATAATAAGAATTATAAATTATAGGAGAAATAATAAAAATTATAAATTATAGGAGAAATAATTATAATTATTAATTACAAGAGAAATATCCATAGACAAACCTGTTGGTGTTGGATAAAGTTTCAGGAAGCTCAAGGCCATTTTGAACTGAAAAAAGGGAAAAAAAAATTAAACGGTCGCCACTAATGCATGATCACATTCTTTTACTAACAATGGTTTGCATGATTGTCTCTTTCAGCGATTCTCGAACAAGATATTAATGGATTAAAAATCTGCATACAAGTACATGTACATCAAACTTGAATATAAAAAATAAACTTTTAATTCCACTCACCATAAAGCTCCTGAAGTTCATCGACTTCTCTGGGAGTTAAAAGGAGGTGTTTATTCCTACAGACAGAGTTAATATGTTATAAATAATCAATTACAAGGTAAAATTGAAAACTAACTAAAATACAGCTTGAAATTTTAGGGAATAAAAGCAAGAATAACAACTTACTCGTGACGGTCACAAAAGCTGTGAACTAGTCGTAGAAACTGGATCTTTAATGCCGTTTGCTGAAAAAGAAATTATAATAAGTTAGACTCAAATGAGGACAAGAACACAGATCCTGGGTTCTATACACAAAAGTTTTTATCATTTATTTTAAAACCTATCTAAAGAAAGCTGTCAATATCTTACCGGTGTGCACTCATGATCTCCAATCTCTATGTCCATCAAATCTGGATTCCTAAAAGATAACATTAATTTAATTAAATACTTTTAAACTAATTTTTAAGTTAATGATTCCCAAACAGACTGATATCATGCAAAGAATGGTAGAGTTGAAAAGAAAAAGCTTTCTTTAGTCACCCACAGTAAAGTAGCATAAGACAGTTCTTCTTGGAGTTCTTTTTCAAATTGTCCTTTTTGTAATTATTTCTAGGGTTATCAGAGATGGTTGTGTTAAACGAATTTGACCCACAACACTTACATTCTTTCTGTTTCATTCAGCCATGACATCTTGTCAAACAACTGGCTCATTCCAGGAATCAATTTTAGCTCTGACAGCCTCTTCTGAACCTGTAATAAATCAATACAATAAAATTACAAGTTGATAATCAAATGGTCAAGTATTCAAACACTTTTTGTAAAGAATAACTGATCTTAGAGTTCCAAAATTATCAGAATTTTGATATTAATAATACTAAAAAATGAATTGCAATTTTTTCTAGATGAATAGTTCCCAATTACTATACAATAATATTTAATTAATAAATGCTTTTTGTTTCTTGTTTTCTTCACTTGACTTACAATTAATTTATGCTTTCCTGTCAAGAACAAACAGAGAACATAGAAGACCTCTACTTTGTGCATGACCTGCAAAGAAAAAAAAAAGATAAATCCCAATTAGTAACACATAATAAAAATATACTAAAATTCAGAGATTGCATCCTATTGAAGACCACTTTTTTAAGGTGCAGTCAACCACAAATGTACAAACCTCGTGTATGAGCTTGAACGAAGATTGTAGCCTCGGTGCTACTGAATCTGGTTCATCTAAATCTAAATCTGCAGCAGAAAGAACATATGAAAATAAGTTAGGCAAAATTCTGTTAATCTGATTTCAAATCAGTAAGTTTAATTAACACAATGCAATTACTGCACAGAGGAAACTAGAACTACAGCATACCCATATCACCATCTGACATGAGCACATTCTGTAAGAAGGTTTGGAAATCAAACATGTCCGGAAAATGGGACGATCTCTCCACTGCAAAACAACAGGGAGAAACCAATTGATTAGTATCAATTACAAGCACTTCTAAGAACAAGGAGATCTTTACTTCTTATTAGCATATTCATAAGAGCGAGGACAGGGTTACCATACACCAATTGATACACGTGTGCAACATACATGTATACACAACATTAGTCCAACAAAATCAATGGCAGCGGTGATTTACAAAATAAAAAAAATATACCTAAGTGGGAAACTCATCTTACCCATTGGTTGGCAGGCCAGCCTAACAATCCTTGGGAGGAACTCTTTTAAGCCTATAAGTGTTGCTGGAATAAAAACAAACAGAACATTTAAACAATATTATGTATAAGAACTGTCACATCCGAAATATTCCAATCTACATGGAAGTACACCTGTATATAATTATATGGTTACACAACACAATGCTCTGACATTTTGCACAATTTTATTGTCAGTCCTTTTTAATGGTGGCAATTAAAACGCGAAGTCTAAGAAAATACCTTGATTGTTATCAGCCACCTCCTTCTGGGACAAGCCTTTCTTATCCACTTCATCTTGAGCAAGTACTAAAAAATAAAATTTGTCACAGTAAACATCATTAAAGAAGCAAATTAGAAGCTAGAATTAAACATGAATAAGTATAAAGTCATTATCTAATGATTTAACTTTTCAAACACTCCAAGTCTTTCATATAAATTAAGTTCCTTTGGTTTCATTTTTTGTTGTTTACTTTACGCAGTCACATATAAGGTTAATCCTCAGACTTCCAAAAATAGACTTGCAAAAGAAATACATTGCACAATCATAATAATCAGAATTGTGGTCTTCATCAGTGATAATGATCTGACATGTCAGATAATGATGAAATATTTCTCAAAACTTACAAGTGCTTCTCTCCTCAACAGATTCCAAGTCAGACAGGGAAAATGATAAAACACGACAAAGGTTTGCCAACTGATTCTGGTCCAAGATGTTTAACAATTTTCTCATATTTGCTGAAATAAATCCATAAAACTCAATGTTAACAAAGGGCAAAATTTATTTATTAAGTGTAGAATTCCAACTTATACCCTGGTAAGTTATTATAAGTTATTAAACACAGTTAAATTGTTGTACGAAAACTAAGATGCAGGTACTGAAACATAAAAGAAAGGTTCGCAACTTACCAATACTATCCAGGTCGATAAGTTCTTTTCTTGAGCCAAAGAGATCCTCTAACACCACAGATGCATAACTATTTGGATGCATAAAAAAAAATAAATTAGCTCCCACATATAAATGCAAGTAGATGGGAATAGGCACTCGATGAAAAGACAAATCACAGTCAGAGAGTTTAATAAACCAGTTAAAATAGAATGAATGAAATAACAAAAATAACATGTACTGAGTAAACGTATCTAGCTGTTTGTCAACATCTGGCAAACGACTGTGCTACTCAGAAATGAGGTATGTGGATATTAATTACAATGATCTGGGAAGCTTAAAACCAGCCCGAAATTATTATTCCATTTCTCATCTATCAATATCTTCTATCACGTACAAACACTATTAGGTATTACTTCCGCAAAACTGTTAAACTTGATCAAACAAGGTCACCATATTGAAGGTTTAAGACTTACGTAAAGGTTTTCTTCTGCTCTAGAAGGGTGAATAAATGACTAATCAAATCATTCCTCTTTGCTAAATTAGTAGCAACTCCATCAACCTGCCAAATAAAAGTAAACCAAAAAGTGCTATTAAAAAAAGTGGATACAATTTTTTTATTATACATAAACATATAGATCTGTGACATCAAACTGTGAAAACTCTCTTTATCAATTCCACTTGTTTCTTTCAATTCAAGTTCTGAGAATTTGGCGATACATCACAACAATAGCCTGCTTGCGATTGCAATATATATTTTGATTTTGCATTTTAAGTATTACATGTTCCCAATCAGTAGGTTCCCTGCAAGGAAAGTCCTCTAGCTCAAACAGTAGTTGTGACACTTGCATGAAGTTGTTGATGGATTAACTGTATAATAAAATGAAGGCAAATTCACTCAGAAAGTCGACTTACCACAAGACAAATATTATGGATGAAGTCAAGGCACAATGACCACAAATTATTTTGCTGCACTCCTGAAAAGTAAACAACTTAAATATCAATGGCATGTTATTAACATGTACGCAGGAGCAATGATAACATTTGATCCTTAAAGCATTTTTAAATGCTTTTTGGCTTAGACTTGTCACAAAACTTGAAATATAAGTAGATCTTCTGGAGATGTTGAAAGTCATTCTCCAAGACTTTTTAATCTGACTCATGAAAACAATGCTCTACCACCACATTGCATATAAAATGTCAATCTACTACAAAACATATGGCTCTTACTTTTTTAATAATTTTGACAATATGCCAATCACATAAAAAGTCGTAATAGCAATTTTCCAATATTTGGATCTCTGCTGTTCTGGAAACATACAAGTCATGTACATGTCATTTCTGCATACAGCTGTACATGTAGCCTGCTATTCATTTGTTATTCATAACTTTACCACAGAGTACTTACTCGTTGGCCTTATCTTGCAAGACTTGAAACCATAAATGACAGGATAAAATAGGACTTGGATAACAATCTGCCATAAAATAGAAACATCCATGAATTAAAAATAAACCTTGAGCCACAGTTAAAATATGTATATATTAAAGAAAGACTTGTTAACTACAAAACTGCAGACTTCTGACATAGGCAAGTTCTTTTTCTTTTTTGTTTTATTTTAGGCAATTTCTTTATTGGTCGAATCAAACAGAACCCTAAAACCATCAAAAAGTTGTCAGAACTCAAATTATGAAAGCTTTGTTGAGTGACAAATTTCAAGATCATACCTTTAGTTAGCTACAAATAAAGAAGCCTAAGCTGTGTATTGCACTGTGATAAAACATGACGAGCATTTGAGAACACGAAAGAAATGTAGAAAACATGAGCCGCAGTCAAGTGTTTTCTACATTTCTTAAGTGTTATCAAATGTCCAGAGTGTTTTATCACGGTGTAATACATGGCTTAGGCTTCTTCATTTGCTTTATGATATAGAGGTAGTGTGGCGAAAAACAATAAAACACACTTTTTCTATGTTTTATACCCTGATAAAACATGGGTTTTTGACCAATCAGAGTGCACGCAGGGTCCTATCTATATTATAAATAAAATTCAAGCACAGTACGTCATGGCATATTCAATACTGACAACAAATACTAATAACATAGTGATACAGGTACATGCATGACAAAACTATTTTAACCAAAGATGATTAACCATACTAGTGAATCAAACATAAATTTGACTGTTATAAATTGGGACTGAAAATGTATCGACACATTGTATGGCAAATATATCTGAAAGTCATTCGCCACGGGTGAACTGAATTAACCGGAAGTGAAACCAAGACGTTTTGTCTGACCCATTGACACTAACACCATGTTAAACCAGGAAGCAATTTTATATTTGTCTGATAAACCGATGATAAAGTAAGGACAAAAATGCTCTGAACTGGCAAAATAAAAGTTACAACCCTAGCTAAATAAATTATGCAGTGACAGATCGAAGGAATCATCAGGTTTGCCATGGAAGTGAAATCGACAACTACAGTGTTTCTCAATTTGTCAATACGTTTCATAAGCTTAAAATATATAAAACCACAGTCATGTGAAGGTAGATGAGCTGCTTGCTGGTAGAATACAATCTCACTTTCGAATTACGGAGACAACCTCTAAATAATGCGTTTTCGTACCTACGAACCCTACGATCTGGCATTTAATACAAACATTTTAGAACGGTGTTGAAATCTTTCGGAAACTCAGCGTGTTAATTAATCGACTTCCAAAGGAGTCATAAAACGTAAATCACTGACACCAGTTTATACTGCACAGAAAACATGAGCTTAAACTAACTGAGTGGCTTTACCTGGAGTTACAATAAATTCATAAGTTCGCTTACCTCGACTCCACCGAATAAATTTAAAACTTGACCGATTCGAAGCCTCTCCTTGGCAAAGAATGGAAGATCGTTTTCGTACAGCACACTGGTCATCGTCGGGTCAGAGTTGAAGAAACTTGACAGCTCCTACATTAACGTGAGAAATGAAGAAAAACCTTTGATGACTGAAGCTACAATAAATTTTATCTCGAAGGCTATTCTTGATAAAACAATTAAGCTTGTAATATTCAAAAGTTGCCTTAGATCGAACTAGCGTGATGAAACAAACAACGTAATCAAGCAATTTGACCGAGTAGTAGATTACAATTCCATTCAGTTGTAAAATTCGTCGAATGTTTAACGGTTAAACGAACTAGAAGTAAGTCTTATAAGCGAAGTATATATATATAAACTACCTTGACGTATCGGACACACTTCATGATGTTAAAACTCTGGGCGCTGCTGTTTCGTTCTAATTTGCCAAGAAGTAGAGGTATTTCCTTGAACTGCAGACGACGATCGACATCTTCGACGAACTCTCGAGGAAGCTGAAAGCAAGGACAGCGAGTTAATGTCAGTGCTGATGCACGCTTCGAGCTCAAGCCTGCCAAACTGTCTACTTTGTGGCTCTAAATCTTACCAAGTTCGTTCTGAGGCATCTTCCAGAGATTTGCGACGACATGATAGTCGCAGCGAGGTTTCTATTTCCACAACTCCTTCTCGCCATCGTAAATCAATAACAAGACAGTGAAATCGAGCAGCTAACTATGAATAACACTGGAGAGTCACGAGGTTGCAAGTTGCCAAGAGATCTTTTTGATCGAGATGTAAACTTACACGGCAGCCATTTTACTCTTATATATCTTACGCGCTTCTGAAAAGAGATCGATCGTAGACGATTCAGCCAATGGAAATGCTCGGTCTTTACGTGCCGACAAGATAGACCAATCGTGAGCTTTCTTGTATTGAGACTATCAATTAGCGGTCGACGTTCCCGCTAGGCAAAATGGCGCGCACCGCCACGAAAAGGTGTACTTAAAAGACACTTTTAAGCGATAGCCGATAATCGAATCGTTTTGTAAAGGTTTGCGCTTTCTTTTCATTTTGAACAATGCAAAAGAACTATCCTTTTTGTCGGCGCGGTCGCTCTCTAACCGAGGGAAAGACTGTAGAGTTTGATTTTGCTGACAAACGCGACCCTGACCCGCGCCTACCCACGTGCGACTTTAAAAATAACTCAGAAGCATTACTGTTCAGTCATAACTGTTTCTGACCTCGTTTTATCGAGAAACAATTACTATCTTAACGTTTTACATCAAAATGTAACTCGCTTAAAGATATAAAGCTTGACTTTGAGTTCGTTTCTCGGAATGACATCTGACTACAAAAAACCGCCTCAGCAAACATCAAACTTTTCTCTAAAAATGTCGTACAGTTTCGATACAGTTCCTCTGACTTTGACAACTGATTAAGTTTAACTGGACGACGAGGCTAAGACTCTCGATATACTAGGAGTTAAAAAAGTTTCGTTTTCCCATTTTCAAATGCCGCGGCCTGATTTTCAAGCCGACAACCGGGCCCTTTCACTATTTACCTTTAATTTTGTCGGCTTATCAGGAACGTTTCAACCGAAATCAACTATTGTTAATTCATGTATTTGTTCTTCAAATCCTTTGTATTGTTGAATAAACGTAGAAGGCGGGAATTTCAAATACACTTTGAAACACCGGCGCGAGCCGGATGGATACGTATATAGGTCGAGTTTTTCAGACCAAAGAAACCGCCAAGCGTTTTTATTTTTATCTTTTCTTTTTTCTTATTACCGTTTCAAAAATACAATCTTTTCGGGTCATGCAGATTATATTTTAGTGTGTAATGATGATAAATCGCTCTTTGAAAATGAACGATCATAAAATAATAATCGATAGAAAAACATATAGATCGATTCCGTACTTCAGAGGACCTCTTCAATTATTGCGGCCAATTTCTTTAAAATTTCGCATTTGGAGAAGAAAGGAAAATGGCCAATGATAACTGAATAAAAATCGATAGAAAAACGTATAGTATCATATAGATTTTCTTCGATTGATTCCGTACTTCAGATGACCTCTTCATTGCGGCCGATTTCTTTTGCAGTCGGATAATTATTCTTTTAAAATGCATTTAAACCGAACAGATATGTCAGTGCCATGCCTTATACGTGTAGCCTTCAACAGAGACGCAGTAATTTGACATTATACCTTACTTTTCTTTACATGGAGAAATCCTCGCCGGTCTGTTAACTCAGCAATAGTGGCACTTGCATCAGACCTTCGGTGGAACACTCAAAAATTTTAATTATAAATATCGCCAAAAATATAAAACAAATAAAACGCTGAGCTTTTGGAAAAGAAATCTTCGTAGTAATTCACCCACTCTTATATCTGTTGCTTTTAAAGTCTCGAACAACACCAACAACTTTATTTGTACTCATTCAGTACAGTGGATAGTGGAATTCGCATTATATGTTAACTGGGTTGAGACAGGTGCAAAGGGGAGCGCTACGATATGTTCTAAACTGCTACCGCACTGAAGACAGACATTGAACATTACTGAGATACTGCGAGAGCTAAACTGGAAAACTTTAGAATTTAAAAGGAAAAGGAGTAGGCTCACAATACATGTTGTATAAAATATATAAGCTTCTTCTCCCACTGTAGGCTTAAATGGTCGACTACCTCACGCGCCCGCAGCCGGGACGTCAGCGCCACTTCCAACACAAACCCTCGTTTGCTGGGTCGGGTTGTTCGAAAGCCGGTTAACGCAAAGCAAGGACCTAAAGTTAACTGCGAAGTATTAAAGTTTCTTGTATAAAAATGTTTTTGACTGCTTATGCTTTGATTAGTTTGAGATCACGTTAGCTCAAATTAACTGAAGGACAAACAAGAGAAACAGAAAACCTCATCGAAAAGTTACAAAACTGAAATCAAAATTCTCACTAATCTTGGGTTGTTAATCGGGCTGTAATTTGAACAACCCGACCCTGGGGCCCGTTTCTTGAAGGTCCCGAAGAGATTTCGCACCAGGAAAGCCGTAACAAAATCTCGAACCTTATTATGATTATAGAGACGTTTTATTCACGCGTTTTCTTATTCTTGATATGAACAAAGCTTCCCTTCATAAGTTTCAGGCGTATGCACTTCTCCGTTTTTCGATACAGATGAACTAAAAATAGCTTTACGGGCCCGAAAAGCTTCCAGGGCTTTTGAGAAACGGGCCCCCGGGTATTCTAACCTAGCAAATTACCACTAGTTTTCTTTTTCCTCAGGGCCGGGCTGTATGTGTGAGAGACTGTCAGAACAACTTGCCACTGAACAAAATTGAGCCAGATTATATGCTTACTTTTAAGACCAATCTGGAAAACTTACTGCAAACTAGCAAATTTATTTCTTTTTATCACCGTAAAAGGGCAAGTAAATACCTGTAAATAAATATACTGGCGGAACAAGGATCATTATAAACAAGCGCCCATGATCACAGGGCTCATGTAATAAGATAACAAATGTTGACGTATAACTTAAACGGGCTCAGTCACGGTGTTTTGAGTTATTTTGGCCACATACAAAATTACCTTTAAATGGTAGGAAACCTGAAAATAACATTGTAATAAGATAGAAAAGCACCAAAGAGATAATGATAAACCATAAAGGAACAAGGACCGCTAAGGATGGAGAAGATTGACACGGATTACAAACGATGAATTTGAAAAAGTGAGGCTAAGCTTTTCAATATGCCTAACCCGTGACGTAGCTCCTTGAAGTTTACAACTAGAAATAATTTCAACTTTAATGAGCAAAACTTTAAAACGCCTTCTTATCCTTACACTACGATTTTTAGCCACTATGCTCTCTGCCCGATTACGAAATGAATAATTTCAGTGATTGACTGACTGATTGACTGACTGACTGGCTGACTGACTGACTGACTGACTGACTGACTGACTGACTGACTGATTGACTGACTGACTGACTGACTGACTGACTGACTGACTGACTGACTGACTGGCTGACATGACTGACTGGTTGGCTGACTCAATCAACCATGGTCTAAGTATTCAAGCGTTTAAAATATATTTTTCGTCCGCGTAGTAGGAATAGACATCTTGCATCGTTCGTACAGACTTATACCAAGACTTGCAAAGTTACATTTATTTGATAATTGAAAACTGCCGTGCATAGTCCAGTTGCTTAGGCTTACGTTTTCACTGAGCTTTCCTCGCCCTTACAAACACGGTAAAACACGCCCTCAGTTCTGCTTGTAGAATCATTAAATAGAAGAACTTCGTCAGCTATATGTAACGTCTGCGAAGGTGTCTTCAGTATTAGTATGACCGACGAAATCAATGCTTATATAATAATTTCAGAAGCAATTCAAGACCGATAAATGTAGATGACAAAACGCCATTTGTATTGCGTGTCGGCTGAATACACATTTTGACAAAATCGCCTAGTGTATCCAGCCGTTGAACTGGGGTTAGCATCTTAGTTTTAGACCTAATCCTTATCTACCATTAGCAAACAAGAAGTGTAAAAAAACTCACTTCGGCGTTTTTGTTTGTGGCTTGGTTTGTCGCTTAGTTAGTTCATTTGATCTAAGCTAATCAAGACAATCTGATTTTCGCTCGAAAGCTTCGGTTCGAAGCATTGACTTTAATGTTGTGGTTCCTCATGCAAGAGACCATCGTCTCTCGGTTTTCATGAGAACGAAACTCAGACCTAAGGAAAATTGCACTAAAACACGGGTGAAATAAGCAGTCAGGAATTCTCATTTGGCTACAATTGCAAACGTCTTATAATCTGTGCCAACACTCTGGCGTTAAGTTAATTAATACTGCATGTTCGGGAATGCGGGTTGTTGCCGAGCCGAGATCAATGAAAACTGGGTCGGGTTGTTCAAAGCCCGATTAAACCAACTCAGTATTAGCGAGAAATTTGACTTGGGTTTTCTAACTTTTGGGTGAGTTTATCTGTTTCTATTGTTTGTCCTTCAATTTTGAGCTTGAGTAGTCTCAAACTATTGTAATTAACGTAATATGCGTATTGTCTGTAGGGTCTGCGTTGTAAGTATACTATTATAGTAGTTATCCGTAGGTCTTGCATGTAGCGTAAGTTAACTAGTATTATATGTAGTAAGCAAATAGATAAAAGAAAAAAAAAATTAAGTATCGATCTTTTGCCTTGCAACGCGGAAAATAGGCAGAATAAAGAAAAGCTTGGAACCCTGTCATCGCTTATCGGGTTGCTGATTGCCGGTGAGAAAAGCTGGTGTTTTGTATAACACATCGCGCGCAACTCAACAAGTCCAACAAAAAGTGGGTTACGGGAATATCCAGAAGAAAACTCTAATTCTATAACTCGCGTTTGAAAAACTGTGTTCACTTGGGTTGCCTTGTATAATAAAGCGAAATGAAGTGAGCTTGGCTAGTCGAGGAGGTAGCGAAAAGATGCCGCGTCTTTTCGTTACACTACGCCGCCATTTTATTGGCGGGAAAACAAATGGCGGGGCGAGTACTAGAAAAACCGGCGAGCGAGGCGGCTTTGTTCTCTTAAATTGCGTGCCTCTGGCCTTTTATTTGCTTCTCACTGGAAGTAGATTGCTGGCAGTGGCCGATATTTCACCACGAGGACGTATCATAGAACTGTAATAACAACAAATTGTTTGTGACTACATCTGCCTAAATTGTATTTGTAATATTGAGTGCCAGGGTAGAAATTTAGTTCCTCGGGCTGCACTGTTACGTTGCATGCCTACAATGCCGATTGGACCTGGATCAGTCCGTACAGAGTAAAATAATAACCGTACTAGGAGACAGTAGATTTTGGCTCATGGAGGCTCTGTTGCAGTCGGTTTGAATTTGACGAGCGACTGTTTACATCCGCCGACATCTAGGGAAGTCATGATTCATTCTATTAAGGTGAATTCTTTTGCGTCATTGACAGAAAATGTAAGAAAGAAATCGCCATGCATCCGTGTTCAGTTATTTCAAATCACTATCATGCGGCCTTGCTGGATTTTAACTTCAGTGAAGGTAAACTGGGATAAGCGTGAATTTTGAGTTCGGTTTTGTCACTTGTCAGTGAGTTTTCTGTCGATATTTTCTATTCTTCAGGCCGAGTTGTTCGAAAGCCGATGAACACTTAGCCAGGATCAAAGGGGAACCGAAGTATTAATTTTTCTTGCATAAAAATGTTTTTCAGCTAGAGATGATGGTTAGTATAGTTACATTACTTACAAACCTTGCGGTAATCACAAAAAATTCCCTACTTACAAAACTTACGGTGCTTGCATTGCTATATAACCAGACTTTGAACTGACAGACTGTAATAATTAGTGTAGACTAACTGATTTCTACAGGATATATTACGCGCAACCAAACGTTACTCGTTCGCACTCTCCTACGGAAGGCTTGCTATGCGGGTTAATCATTTGGTTGCGGTCTGATTTTCCAGTGCAATAGGACCACAACTACATGAGCACCACAGTGCTCACTCCGACGGGCACCTCACTCAAAGAAGGGACATGGCAGTTATTGTATCATAGCTTACTAACGTTATGAATTCTTTTATTATCCAATTTTCCGAATCCACTGGCTGTCAGAACACTGCTAAGATCGAAAAAATGGATTTTTTTGTTAACTTCATTGCTTTTAAAGTATCGATATTTAACCAAAGATATTTGTCACTAGATCTTTATTGTACAACAATAATTAATAAATAATAATCATCAGTCTGATTTAACCCAGCGCTGACACCCTTCTAAAGAAGAGACTTACTTGCGTCAAGAAAACAAAACCATGTAAACAAGAATAACAACCTGTCTGACTTGGCTCGTTTCAATGTAGTTCGCGACTGAAGAGTGTTTTGCAATTGAAATTCGATGTTTCATACACGTACCGCAATTCCCAATTGCACTGAAATGTTTTTGTAAACCAAGGCTCCATTTGTCTGAACGCTTAATTATGCCAGGAGGTTATTTAGTTTAGTGTGTTTCAGATCTATTGAACACTTTAAGTGGTTGCTTCACGCCGAATCACGCTATTTCAAGAACAACAATACCTACATTTTTCGGCGGTTTCATTCCAATGTCTTAATATTAATATACACAGTTCTAAACAAAGCTGTTACGAGAATTGAATAAAGGTGTATTCGCTACAATAATTATTAATAAACAAAAGGTCTAAACAGATCCAAGAATGAACGGTGTTACCGCTAACCCGGCCGCTAAACGTCACGATCAACGATACCTCTGAAATTTATAATCCTGTTGCTGATATATGAGATCTTAAGGGCAAATCGGCAACATTAAAATGATAAAGAAATGTTCACTGGTCAGAGGCTTAGCAAAGAAGTAAATAGGAATCGAACGAGTAATCGAGTGAAATAGCATTAACATGAAATACTTCCTTATTAGGATTCAGAAGTAATCACTGAGTGTTCTATGAGCCAACTCGGGAATGTAAAAAGTGAATGAAATGTATCTAAAACATGAGCTCCTGATTTAAAACGTATGTAAAATCATTTACTCGCAACAATAACGTGTAAAGAGATTTACCATAAAGAATTTCACGCACCAAATTAAACCAAATGAATTGAACAACCAGCAAACTCAACATGCAAGTCACCAGGTGTAAGTGTCAAATAGCAAATCCTGTTCGCTTTTAATAAGCAAAGGCACCCCAAGCTCGTAAAAGTAGCGTCCTTTTATGTATATACTAGCACTGAGGTAACGCAACAGTCGAAATATAAGGATTTGTATAGGAAAATGGTTCTATTCTTAAGCGTAAAAAATAATAAAACATGAATAATGAAAATAAACCTACCTCACTTGAAGTGTATGTTTCGTTGTTAAAACAACCGAATAAATAGTTTGACGTCAACCTTAGGCCTCCTGAAAAGAGATAGCCACCAAAATTGTTGGAAGTTAGATCCACATGAATTAATAACGGCGAAAAGTACAGCGTTAAACCAGGGCCTAAAAGCGGAGAATAATCCAACAAGGAAATTTGACCATTTCACCAACATCAGGTATAGACGGTCTTAAAATTGGTAAATCCTTCCAGAGCAAGCGCTTAGAGATGGACGTTTAAAAAACAAAAGAGCCACAGCAAATCGCATATATATAGCAAAAGATCGTAATAACAGATCTTTTGCTATGTGTATGCGATTTTTCAAACCCGGGCCACCCCCCTTTAGGTGAAGCAAAAAATTAAAACAAACGAACAAGATGATGATAACGGCACGCTCTGGACAGGCACCTTATTGTAATCACAAGTATTTTCATTTTTCCGTGGAACCTCGATTTAACGAAGCGCCAAGTGATTGGGGAAATTGGTGTGTTATATCTATGGTTCGTTATATCGAAAACCTCGATAAAAAGAAATTGCGGCAAAACAACCAAGATGATCGTAAGGAGAAGTCCACTCCAAAAAACTTACTTTTTTTTCTTCGCCTATAGCAAGTAAACATTCAGCTTTTCCACCCACCGAAGTTTCAGCCTCTAATGTGCCTGCTATCCTGAAGAATTCGTTTTGAAAGAAGCGACTTCGGAGGCCGCCATTTTGAAACTGTACTCTGGCAGCCAAGTCGTGTTTATGTGACGTAAATTCGTCCGACTCGGAATTGGCAGGAAGGAGAAAAACCTACAACTGACTTTGCATCCTTCCCAAGGTCGGCAAAGTGTATTTCTTCCAAGCGATTATCCACACTGCTATCTTTTCGGAGTTTGGAGCATGTTTGGCTCAAAATGAAAATACATTTAGCTCAAATGTTTGGCCAGAGCAGCCATAACCCAGAGTGGTAGTTAAAAGGCTTGTCGGAAGCCATTTGAACAAAATCTCTTGGGCAGAATTACGTCACGAAAACGCGGCCTGGCTGCTGAGTGTTTTTCAAAATGGCGGCGACGATGTCGATTTTTGGGCTTCTTTGGAGACGAATTTCGTAATGAAAACCTCCACTTCAGAGGCCGAAAGTTCGGTGAGTGGCTAAACTTAGTGCGAAGTTTTTTATTAGCGTTGACAAAAAATATAGTTTTTTGGGGGTGACCTTCTCCTTAAGGGTGTTACGTTGCGCTACGCCGCATTTCTGGATCTGAACAATTACTGTAAATACCACTTGTGCTTTAATGTCCGTATAAAGTTACAGCGCAATTCGCAGATCTGTGCAACAATACTGACACTTTCATCCTCCCAGAGTCCCTCAATAGTTTCAGTACTAGCGCTCGTTGGATATGAGATGATAGAGAGCTAGACTGCAAAACAGTCGTATTTTTTGCGAGTGCGGGCGACGGTAAATATTCGAACGAAAGGTCTGAAGCGAATGTAAAAACGGCGAAGGAGAATGGGGAGAGACGCTACGGGCGTGTGAGGCTCGCGCACTTCACACGCGAGGGTCGGAGGATCCAAAAACGACTGTTTTGCAGTCTAATAAAGAGCCAACGAGGCGCCATATAATTATCTCGTGTCCAAGGAGCGCGAGTGGAATAATTTTTTATTGAAAACGCCCCCAAAATATGGAAAACTAAACTAAAATAAAAATAGAAACGCCAAAAAAAAATCACGCGTAATCTTACTATGTTTGTAGAGCATGGTACAGTGGCTCATAACCCATGATGGCTAAGCCAATGAAAACTTTCGAATTGCACTATCCAATGATCCAGTTTTTAATGAATATGTTTATTCAAATTCTGCGCTGTTATTGGCTACCCGTGAGGGAAAGATGAGGCTATCTTTGCCAGTTCGGGATCACGCGCTGTGTCCCTCAAGAAGAATTTCCTTAGAATAAAAATGTCCCCACATAATAAATCTTTTATTGACCAAAGATGGTTGGATATTTCTCTCGTTTTATTTTTTTTTTTATTTTATTTTTTTTTTTGCGTGTTTATGCATGTGGACCTCGACTCCGTCTCGGTCCGTTCACACGGAAAGAGCTTGGCCAATATCCAGCCATTTGACATCACGCTTGGTCAATAATAACCCACATATATGCTATATATGGTAAATACCACTAATTGAGGTAAATTCTCAGAAAACGGCATCGCTCTTCTTGGAATTTTCGGATAGAAACACCGAGGTAGTTGAGAAGTTCACGGATCTAGGACAAAGCACTTCGTTCCACTACATTTCGGCGGGAAGAAATGAACTAGTTAAGCTTTCAATAGATACCCTTCTCTTGATCGCTCTTCATCTACAGATCATTTCCGGGTTAAAACTTGTAGGATTGATTATACTGAGCTATTTGGTCACGCAACGCAGTAATTACTTGACATGATCTTGCAAATTCTCGGAAAAGGAGAATACATTAATTTATAAGTAGTAGCCAATAGCTTTGCATTTGCAAGAAAACAACGATGATACTGATAACAATCAATTAAGCGTTTTTGCAGCCAACATTGGGATGTTGCAGTCAGTCCTTTAAAAATACTTCAACATTTTGTAAAGTGACTATTCTCCCTGATAGAGGTCACCTAAATTAATCGTTGCAAAGGGAAATCTTAAGTTGATTAACGATCCCGTGGATATCAGCAATGAACAGAGCTGGTTACTGTTGGAGATGTGAGGCACCCTGCACTCAAAGGTGTGCGCGTTGCCGCGTAGCCTTCTACTGTTCTAAGGTATGTCAGAAACAAGACAAATGGCGACATGAACCCAACTGTGATGACGCTGTGCTGAAGACGGAATGTTCCAGCTGCGGTGTTGAACGAGAAGGAATGATGAAATGTTCCAGCTGCCTGAAAGTTTATTACTGCAACGTGGAATGCCAGAGGAACCACTGGGCAAGACACAGGTCATCGTGCCATAAAACGTCGGAGGAAACAATCAAACTAGTTGAACGAATGAAGAAGTTCCTTGACATGAAAGAGTTGAACACTGGCCTCTCGGCGACATATTACTGGGGTAATACACCGGCTGTGGATCTAATCAACTTGTCGATGAACGAAGGAGAGGAGTACTCCAGCCCGCTTGCTCTGTTGTTGTGTGGAGTCGGTGATCCCAGGAATGTTCTGTTGACCACTGCATCTTTACCTGATGCTTATAAACAACAAGTAACGTTCGTGTTGAACGACATCTGTCCTTGTACCCTGGCCAGAACAGTCTTGCTACTGTACATGCTGTACAAAGGTATGAACAGTATCCCTAAAATATTGTTCCAAGTTCAGGTGTACCGCTGAGCTTACTAGTGAATTAAAGTCGTAGATGGCAGCTACTAACTGTACGTAATTCACTCAGCAGGTTCCGAACGTTTTTTACAACTTAACACCCATCCTTGACTATTACATAATTCTCGTCAGTATCTCTTAATTTGTTTTCACTATTCAGTGCGAATATGCTCCTGTCACTCAGTATTAAGATTGCTCCTTGTCTCTGTTGCTAGGTAGCCACTTTCCTACTTGTCTGCATATATCTTCGGTCGCTTTTAAAATGTTCCAAAGCACTATTTTGTTCGGCACTCAATGACTATAAAATGTGAGCAAATGCAAAAAGAAAAGTTCTAAATATAGTATGCTTTAGTTCATTAGAAGACCCAAGTATGCCAGCCAGCTAACCGGGCATGTACACCACGGGCCAGGAGCCTGGCTAAGCGGGCAACAAACTGCTCATGTGCTTCTCGTGTTTATTAGTAATTCAATTTTTTATTAGTAATTCAATTTCGTCTCAATTCATTAGCATGTATTTTAAGTTTACGCTCTGGTTTTAGATTAGCTTACGGGGGAGGGGGCCATTATGTAAACTACTGAGTCATCAGTAATCAACGTTACCCTCGTAAAATTAACTGTCATCATCATCATCATCATCATTATTATATTTATTACTATCATTATTATTATTATTATTATTATTATTATTATTATTACTATTATTATTATTGTTATTATCGTCATCATGTAATACCAGGAGCCTGGTAATACTGGGCTAAAAAGTCATTCTGGCAAACTGTGCTAGCCGACTCCGGGATGGCGGTTTATGTAATCAACCTCGCTCCCAAGGCGTTTCCTTGGGAACGAGGTTGAGCTCCTAACAGCTGATGTTTGACTGATTATAGGAGGGGCTGATGTAACTCATACAGTGATTCGTGTTTGGTACTCGCTGTGTATCTCCGAAGAAGACTTTTCTTCGCTCTTGTCAGCGCTTCAAGACCTCGTCACTACCGAACTGCATACCCTCACTGAAGACGTAATGGAGATTTCTGCTGACCAGTGGAGCAACCTAAGGGACGTTTGGGTCACGTGGCTACGCTTGGCAAAGCGGAAGGGACCATGGGTGGCGAACCTGAGACGAGAAGCGATCTTACGTGATTCAGGGAGAGAGAACGGAATAGAAACCTACTTGCACGCCATTCCCAAAGAACACAGGGTTTCGGCTCAACGATTTTTCAACACGGGGATCTTTCCGTCGACAGGAAATGCTGAAGAGCTAAGCAAGCAAAACCCCACCTTAACAGGTCGTGGATATCACTGGCTTTCCAGTATCTCTGAATATCATTACAACATACCAATGGATGTGTTGCCTTTCACCGGCTGGGATTTCAGTGCCATCAAGAAAAGTTGTCATGTCGATTCTCTACCAGAAATGTACAGCATCTACCTATCTCAAATCATACACAAGGTAGTTGGAAAAATGAAGAAAGATCAGGTCAAATTCCAGTTCATTCTGGCTGACGTTCTAAATATCGAAACTTTTCTTCCTGCCAGTCTCAAATACGACCGCATCACCACCTCCAACCTGTGGGATTACTGCCCTCTCACTGTTTTACTGACGCAATTCAAAGGCTTCTTAAACGGTACCAATCCTCACGCAGTCATGCTGACCGAGACGGATAACTGGGTTCGAAATTTCATGCCGGAAGTGGTGCATGTTTTGCCGCAACTTTGGGGTATCGATGACCTCATACGGAAAGCTTTACATGACACGCAAAATCCAGAACTTGCAAATTCATCTGGGATGTCAGCTGTGGTGGAGTACTTTAACATAACCAGTGAATTTCTCATGTTTCTGCGTGCTTCCTTGCTGACCTCAAGCACCGACAAAGACTTGACTTCCCTCAAAAGGAAAAATAAAATGCCTTCCGTAAAATCTCTTGTTGGTTCACTGGGTCTGCATCTCCGCGACTTCACTAGAAACCAGAACACTGTGTCTCCGTTTAAATGGGCGTTGAACTGTCGTCGTGTCACCATGTTGAGAGGCTTTGAGAGAACATTGGAATGGAAGCTCAGTCCTCTAGACAGCCAAGCTAATAAGAGCGATTACTATGAAACAGTATGAAACAAAGAACTGATGAACAGCTCTGCTATTCTTTTGTACTTTCGACTTTTCGAAATTTTTATGATCAATTACTCATAATCTGTAATCAGGCGCTCTTTTTTCCGGAAGCACGGGAAAGGGCGAGGGAGAAAACAGAGCCCCCGATGGCAGGTTAGTAGCAGTTCGGGAATAAGGATCATTTAAAGCAAATGCTCGTTGACGTACCCGAACAGTTTCCGAGTCTTGCTACCCCGGAGAAATTTGAAAACGCACTTTTATTTCTGCGGGTACGCCTACCGACCATACATGTCCGTTATATAATACTTTTAAATTGTGCTGAGGGAATTTTCACCGTGTATGAATAAGGTTATCAATCGATCAATCAATCAATCAATCAATCAATCAATCAATCAGCCAATCAATCAATCAGTCAATCAATCAATCAATCAGTCAATCAATCAATCAATCAATCAGTCAATCAATCAATCAACATCAATGGAACTTTAAGAAAGTGCTCTTCAAACCGGATGAATCTGAAAACTCTGGCTTTGCGTTTTAGCTTGGACGGAAAACATTTTCAAAACGGAGCTTCACAAAAACGATGAGATCACGATAAACATGTGATTTCCCTGATCGGTGATTGATGTGTTTTCAAATTTTCCCGGCGTAGTACAGTGCGGATGGAAAACATTTGATGCGTTTTACCATGGTCGAACTTCTCCACAACGGCGACCTTGGGGACAGACGAAAGTGACCATTGTGGAGAGGTTGCCGTTATAGGGTGGTGAGGGTGCAACATTTTATTTTTTTGTAACAAAAATACTCGTTGTAGCAGATAAAGAAGTAAGATGATAAAAATATATCAATAAAACATAATTCAATTAAGCAGAAACCGAGACCAACGACGCACGGTACTGATCAAGTTTCGTGACGGAAAACCTCCTTTTCTCGGGTTGTTCGCACTCGAACACCAAGCCAGAACACTCTTTAGTTTCAGTTCCTAGGTCTTCCTAATCTTGTGACCTCAGGTCGTTTTCATATGAATCGAAGCGAAGCGGTCAACTGAAATAATTACATTAAGAAAGCACTAAATTGCAATTGAAAGGAATCACAAATGATTATGCCAAGCTATCTATAGCTCTCACTAGAATCACAACTGATTTACGCAACAATGTAACTATCAACATCAGTAGACTGCAGCTCAGTTACCAACGTTCGCTGGTCTTGATTTTCCAACGAGAATTTTAGCTAGCTTAACTTGTCTTACGATCTTGATTACAAGGAGTATTAGCTTGAACTGAACACGAACTATGTTTGCCTAACATTTGATGCATTAATCACGGTAGCGTCAATCAAATGAGAAAATATTTCTCAACTTTAACGGAAGCGGTGGTCAGCGTGTCGCTTTCGCAATTCAGCGGTCCCGGGTTCGAGTCCCGCTCTGACTACCACCCGGATTTGTTCTCGGTAGTCCCGAGTTCAAATCCTCGGCCACGCTTGTAAATAGCCAACTGGTTTGCCTCCGGCCAGTTGGGATTCTTAAAAATGTTATGTTCAATTGGAATTATTTGTTTCAGTTGTTTGCTCGGTCCCACTAGTGCTATAAACATTGCCGAGGGTAAATAAAGATTAGATATATTTTTTTATTTTCTCTGGACCGTCTGCCGGGACAGAAAAAAGTGGCTGTTGTAGAGAGGTGACCAGTAGTGGAGGTTTCCATGACTTCAATTGCAACATTAGGGGGCCCATTGGCCCATTGATTTGAAACGTCAAGGTACCAGCTACCCCCTCCCCCAACTCTTCCAAATAAATGCGCTACAGTACATGGTACCCTTTAGTGTGACGCAAAAAAGGTCGAAAAACTGAAACGGGGAAAATGAGAGACTGGGAACCAGTTAACTATAAGCTCCCCCCCCCCCCCCCCCCCCCCTGACTNAGCGGAGCATGTAGGCCTGTTCTTTCATTGTGGCCCTGAAGAAAACACAAACCAAGCAAACAATTACAGAATTTGAAAAAAAAAAAAAAAAAGTCGACGGTCTTGTTTTAGGCCTCTGTAGCTGTGGACGTATATATAGCTATATTCAAACGGGAAATGTTTGGCGACAAAACACAATGAAACATTGTTTGATAACCAAACATGTTGATGTATCAAACATGTTTGACCACGATCCAAACGAACAAAATGTTTTGCAATGTTTGATAGAATGTTTGTCAACCTTTAAGTCTCGCCAAACATGATGAAACACCATCAAACAAGGTGTCCAAACGGCAAAATGTTTGGTAACGAAACAATGTTTGATCGCATTTTATCGCCAAACATTTCTCGCTCTGTTGCCTTCCCACCCCACGATTCTCCCCTATTTTTTTCGCACGCCTTTTTTCGCGCTGAGCGCCAACTAACTGAACATCAGATCTGGAAGGGGCTATAACAGACGCTCATTTACGAGCTTGGGAATTTTGAGCTAAAGCGCAATTTGAATGTTAATATTGCCGACGGCTTTGCGCTCATTACATCGGTCGTAGCTCTACCGTCCTTTAAAAAATCGAATCTAACTTCGAAGCAAGTGTTAATTGCCATCTTGTTTTCTAAGTCCTGAAAGCTGCAATAAACCGGCAATCTGTATTCAAATCACAGTTTTTCCGTCCGTCTATCAAAGGAAAGAAAAATTCTCCAAGTATTCTTCACCAGCAAGGTGGAATTACGAAAAAAAGTGTCAACAGATTATAAACCAACCGCTAATTTGCAAACTCTGATTCCCCACAACCCGTAACTTGCTATCGCAAATCACGAGTTAAAATAGACTCACAGCAACTACAAAACAGAAACTTTTATTTCTGATAGAGGTCTTCAACAGCTCAACGTTGCTCTATAGAAATCTGAACGGAACAAAACACGTCTCTGAGTAAAGAGCAGAAATAAAACTTTACGCTACCATTGGCGCAAATTAAATGAAAGTCAAGCCAAACCTCCCTGTAGTTTTACGATTGCACGCGCGCTTAGGACGAAAGCTCAGGTAATCTGCGCGCGCTCAAAGGAAAACGTAAGTGTTTTTCGATTTTTATGACGTCAACATGAGCATAAAAAGCAAAACTGACAGTGAATGTTCTCGCGTTTCCTTCGGTGAACTTTTTTAAAATTTGGCTCAGTTGTAACAACATACAATTCCTATAAAATACTTTATTTTTGCCAAAATCTGTCGGAGCTAATCTAATACATTTAGAAGAATGACAAATTACAGGACACTGGAATAACCATCTGAACAACCTTGACTTTTTACCAATTCAAAATATCAGGCAATATCATTTCCATGATGTGGCAAAGTTTGAAAAAACTTCACCGAAGGAAAGTATAAATATTAAGTAGTTTAGGCCAAAATGAGGAAAAAATCTGCCTGTCATTAGATGAGATGTTGCCATGGTAACGGCCTTAATCCAAAAATTGACAACCAAAAAATAAGCCTTATTTTAAAAGTACCCATACTGGTAAATCTCTACAGGGAAAACTTTAAGAGGAATTAACAAAGTTTCCTTTTCTAACTCGCGCTCTATAGGGAGGGTGTTAGTAAATATTCTAGGGAGCCACCTTAAAATACGTTATCGCGGCGTTATGTCCATGGCGAGTCGTCCCAGTCTTTTAGTGCTCGCACGGTCATTTCCCGGTGATCATGGTTTTCACTGTTCGCCTAGCTACGAAGAAAGCGCGCAAAGTATAAAGTGGTGCTTAGCTTCTAGTTTTACCATGGAACAAGGCTATTCTAGAAAACGGACTTTCCGGCTAACTTTCCCTTTACTCTTGCCGTTGCTACACAATGTAGCTTCCTGCGCAGCAATTATATAAACTTCAAGTAAGGCAGAGTGTGCACCTGACATGCGAACACGACATTACGCCACGATTCAGTCCGTACCGAATGACTTGTCTTTAAAATGTGGTACACTTCTAGTAAGCAGCCCCAAAGCGACCTAATTTGGTGATCGCCGGATAGGTCTGGCCACTCAAGGAAGTATTAAAATGCTGAAAATGTAATGTTTGAAAACATTCGGCTAAAAAAGAGGAGCAGTGCGATAGGTCATCAAAAGAGAGAGTTCTACTACACTGCTACGATAAAACAACCATCCATCGTAACACAGTGCTAGAATTCTCTACGGCTAAAACAGAACTGTTAAGAATGTCAACTAGAGTTATTTTTAGGCTTAACAAAATACTGAAGGGAATGTCTGGCTTAACTGACATTCTTTGTTAGTCATTCCGATCTCAGAGCGAGCACTTTCTCTTCCTCTCTCTCTCTCTCTCTCTCTCTCTCTCTCTCTCTCATCGAGTACCGGAAAATACGGGGCCCTGGGACAGAGTAGACGAAGAAAATTTACCGAAGTACAGTGGCAGAGAAAAAAAAAAAGAAAAGAACTTCGGCATAATTCTCAGTTTGTATCTTCGGCGTTCCCCGTAGTGTTGTCTTCGTTACGAATCTCTCTCATTAAATTGCAAGTCTCTATCTTGTCAAAGGAACCTCCATTCTCAAAGAACAATAACATCGTCCTCGTCTTCGTCCACAGGAGCATTAGACACCCTTGCTCTTTTTGCGTTCTTCAAGTCTTGTTGATCTTCGGAATCATTGGCTTTCCTCTTTCGAGACGGCGCTGGTTCATCAACTACCATCAATTCCTCTTCGTTCCCGCCTAACAAACGTACGAGATTGAATTAGTCGAACTCAAAACGGATACTTTGTGCTGTAATTTCTAACCGCTTTCTGTTCCGATTGATTTGGTTGATGTGCCCAATACAACCCTTTTCCTGCCGTTTTCGATTTGCCTGAATACCCCCACATGCGGAAATCAGCTGTGTTGCTCGGAATAAAAGTGAATATCTCAAAGTGTTGGTGATCGAGACACGTCCTGATTCAAATTCTACGTAACTACCCATAATCCCCTTTACGTGGCCCCAGTCCTCTGGTCCGTAGCTGCAAAGTCTGTTGTACAATGCTACATTGTCAGGAATATCATTTTGCAGCATTCGTTTTCTATCCTAGAGCACGAGAGGCGCGTGATAGCTTGGAAAGCATTAACTGCCTCCGTGTTTCTATAAGGATGTTCAATCTGAGTTGTCACGCAACGTTAATCACTGTCGCGAAGAAGAGCATTGCGTGACGACTAAAACAACCTATGAGGTATTTTTTTTCTTGAACTAATATTCTCTTACCCGTCGCAGCTTGGTTTTCTGTTTCTTCTGGTTCCGTTGACGGGCCGGGCTTCGGACTAAGAGGTATGGGGGCCGGCACATCACCTTCCACCTCAAACTCTAAATCGCTCTCTAAATTATCTCTATAATGAAATTATTGCGAGTAGTTACAGCTGTAGATGCTTAGAAAGAAGTTACGACTAAGTAGCCAGAGATTGACTCGATATAAAACGCCAAATCACAGCCATTTACACTGATCAGTCATAACGAACGAAAATAAGGCAACAAACCAATGAAAATCATGACGCCCAGCGCGGGAAAAAAAAGTTACTGATTGGTTTTGGTTTCGCTGCTGATTGGTTTAAACTAACAGCATCTTTCTTCCCATTGGTTAGAGTTCTACGACCTTTTTTCAACCAGTCACAGAGCAAACGTGTCTCGTTGTTGTCTCGTTCCAACGATGAAACGAAGGTCGCATATTTACTGGGTTCAGCTTCGCTGCGAAATTCAATTTTTACTTACCGACAATGGAGTCAAGAAAGAGTTTTCAACGACTTCTAACATTTGCAAGGAACTATTTCCTAATATGTTAACATGTAACCGGTTACATCTAACTAACATGTCAGATAAAAACCCCATAAATAGAGTTGTGTGTTATGCATTTGTTTTGCCAGCACACCTGTGTTGAATATTGAGGACAAGCTGGTAGTTTTGAAGGAAGTCGTCCGCTGTTAATCTCGAGCTGTTACCAACGTGGAACTCACTTAACGTCTTTGGTAAATTTTCTATTAAAAAAAGGAGAGAGAAGAGGATTAGGTTTGAATAATTGTAGCAGAATACAAGCATGAGAACTTAGAAGAGTTGAAAATAATACAACAACTCAAACTTTACTGACACTCCCTAAAGAGGGGTTTTCAGTGACAATGATACAAATTTTTAAGTGAACATAAGTTAAAATGATGGCGTTTCTAAACATTACGATGATACAATGACGAATAAAAAAAGAACATGAATAATTTGATAGCAGAAACTAAAAATTATAAGATAAAGATTGTATAAAAACAGAAATTGTTGTAATAAAGCAAAAACTAAGACCGGCTTGAGAGAAAAGTGGCGAACAAATTAGCCTGAATTTACGTTTAAAAGTAGGAACAGAGTCGCAGAGTTTAAGAGGGTTGTCTAAACTGTTCCAAAAGCTGACTGCACGGTAATAGAATGTCCTCTGTCCAGATCTGGATTTAAATAAAGGAATGAGCAAGAACTGAAAGCTATGGTCAATCAAAAAGTTCTGTTAACAATTTAAAAAGAATAACGTACCGTCCGTTTCTCCCTCTTCGCTTGATATTAATATGCTGCCTGAGAGCAAAAAGAAATTGTTTTAAGTTAGCAGATGTTCTTTTCCGTCCAGGAAACGTCCTTAGCGTTGGTTCCCGGTCTATCATATCTCTCAGCTTTATTTCTCAGTCTCCTGCAAGCTGACTACTCCGCATAACTGAGTCAAAGCGCAGGGAGTGGTAAGCGTGATAAAAGGCGGGAAAATCAGGCGAACAGCAAGCAGCAGTCATCGTGACTTGATTGTAAACCAAAAGCAACGCAGTCTGTTTTACAGTTAAGTCGCAAGGAGATGTCTGTGCTCGAAGTTTCTCTTCAAATGAATAAACGCAAAATGTTAATGAAACAAAGAGAGAACTAACCTTTGCCGTCCTCTATTTCGACATCGGGGGCCACCATTCCAAATCTTTCCTTAAGTATCTACATTAAATAGATGAAGAAGTCGTTGTTTCGTTTATTTATTTATTTTTTTTTTTTTTACGTAAGGCCGTTCTGGTTGGTAATACCGAACGTAATTCTTTTCTTGATTTAGTTCTGCATTTGTCGAGCTCTGCAACGGGTGTAAAAATCTTGTCCGACGAGCTCTAACGAGTCAGAGGAAACATGCTGTTTATTTTCTTCGACCAATCAGGAAGGCCAATAATAATTATAATCGTGAGGTGCTGTGCACGCATTTCCCGAGCTTGGTATTTGATGAATAAATTCTGATTGGTTTATTAGATCATTTGCGTCTGTTGTGATTGGCTAAATGTGATTTGAATGGATTTTGGGCTTGGTTTAACGACAGGAAGGGAAAAACGCTGTAACGATAAGAATGACGAACATTTTCCACAATAAGCAAGTAGACACGTCACAGGAGGTTACAATAGTGTATTCTTCAATGAACACAGTATTAGACTGGAAACTAATCAAGCTGTACGCTACCCAGCTGATAGCTTGTTTCCACTAATATTTGTCGGTAGCATTGGAATGATGTTTACGCTTTGTTTCTTCCAAAAAGTCACAACCGCAGTAGGGTACCGAGTAGGCAATGTCTCTGAACTAAATGCAAAAGATAAAATAGAATATTCCAGCTCACCTTTTCTTCTAACGTCTTGACTGTGAGAGTTTCTGTGTTTACAAAAACAGTCACCTATAGTGGTACAGAAATCCGGAAAATCGCAAATCAATCTTCCAGACAGAGAAGACTTACCCTACAGGTATACTCCATTCACACCGACAGGTTAAACATGTTTAAAAGTGGTTTAACTAAGATTTAGATTTAGATTTTGACCATAACCCTAAGTGGGTATAGGCCCAAGGTTAAAATTTAGTTGCTCATGCCATACACACCCCACACCTTAACAAGGCAAAATCATGTTTAAATAAAATATGTTAGCAAGCATGTTATAGTAAGTATGTTAGCAAGTTTTTACGCCCACCCGTCGCCATACAAAATGAATACGCTGTACAAATGCATCATCTAATAACATATTTAGTAATTTTTAAGAAAACTTTACCACTCTTTTCAGGTTACCACCATTAAAAATGTTTCTTTTGAAGAAATGGTTTCGAGAATATGCCAATGATAGCTCCTCTTCAAATTATACGATCACTAGTCACTTTTAAGATGTAGAAAACCAATTTTAATAGTTCACTAAAGTGTAAAAATAACACCTGAGTGAACTGAAGAAGAAAATAGTAAAGATGGGAAAAGATTGGGAATGCTGAGTACGACAGATTACCAATTATTAACTTGAAAATTCAGGATACTGAAATGTTCAAGACGTGCATTTTGTAATGCAGGCCCGGGGTTTCATTAAGGGCCAGGCACCGGACAAATTGACCGGCTGTGAGGAAGGTTTTACCCGCCCAGTTTAACCATCTTGCGTTGAGTTTTTTCTTATAAAGAAGTTCAGTTTAAATAGGTTCGTCGCCTGTGAAAACCAGTTGCCCTTCTGCTGAAAAAGTTAATGAAACCCCCTTAAAAGCGACAATTTAATGAAAAACAACTAACAACATTCCAATCATTTCTGCAAAGAACATGGCCTTGAAATTCATGTTTCTTTTTGCTTTCTTTCCTCACCTCGGGTTTGGCAGCACAGACGTAGCACTTGGGGTTTGGAGGAACCAGGCTACAAGGCACTAATAATCTCTTCCTTGGATTCGGTTGTCGGTTAAGATAGATCTGCAACGAGAATGCAATTAGACGGTATACAGAAAATTCTCAACCAAAAACCTTCACTTACACTACAATTGGGCTGTCAATTAAACTTTAATTTTCCTAAACGTAAGACTAATTAAAACTTTCCAAAAACTAGTCAAAATGCATGAATTCAAAATGCCTTTTGTCTGACATGAACAATCAGTAAGTGAGCACAATACAAGCCAGAGTGTGCAGTATTCCATTCTCTCAGATAATCTTGTCCTATTTGAACAGACTAACCGTTCTACATTTGTCCAGCTTCCCATTCAGGATGTTTAGAGCCTGCATGACTATCACCCCTGAAATTATCGCATTTGTTGTGGCAATGGCTGGAATAATATTACCTGCCATGGCTATAAAAATAAGAAAAGTAAAACACCGATGTCACATGACCATCTCAACAGAATAACAAAAATATATAATAGTAATAATAATAATAATAATAATAATAATAATAATAATAATAATAATAATAATAAATATTCACGGTAAAGTTAACTTGGTGCAGTGCTTTTATACTTTCAGTTACATTCTCTCAGAAAGTAGTATAGAAATTAACTCATGTACTTTTATTACCTCTGGCACCTTGTACAGTTGTATATTTTTACGAGTCTTGCAATATTTTGGCAACGGAGCCCATAGAGCAAGTCAGGCTAAAAATGATAAGTAAAAGGGCACAGCGATGCTATTTGTTAAACAAGAGATTTATTCTACAACGCTTTTCTTTCTGAAAACTGAGGCAATGCAAAACACAGTATTGTGTTGTCCAAGAGCACTAAGACCAAGAAAACCAGAACTAATTGTTCTATTGGTTTCCTGAAATGCAAATACCCTGGGATTTATACTCGTTTCAGGCATTATTTGTACTCTACAGACTACAAGTGACAAACTGTTTTCAGTAGCACATGTTCGTAAGTGTAGTTTAGAAGCCATATTATTCCACAGATACATTAAAAATGTTTTTTTTTTTTACAAACCTTTTACATCAAAGCGACTCCTCATGGCTATACTAAAAATGTGCGCTCTGATATTTGCCGCGCTCGTTACAAAGTCCATTGAAGCCGGGTCATCCTGTGGATTGTCAGTGGCAACCAAGTGAACGTACATTTTTAACAAATAACTATTTTATTCACATTATCTCTAACATACAAGCATTACAACAAGCATGTAAGTTGTCATCATCAGCATTTAAGGTTGGAACACGCTAGGAGACATGTTGCAAGGAAATGAAGTGGGGACATGTTACAGCGACAGTTTATCTTGTAAGACATGCCCATTCATAATTTTCAAAAACATTTTGTGGTGGGGACAAACGTTCGTCATATTTCCTGTAAAAAGTGATTTGCGGATTACCAAACACTGACCTTATCCCAGACAAGATCTTCTCCTCTTGCTAGTAACTGTTGCTTTAGAATATCAATGCTGAAACAAGAAAGTCACTTTTTCCATTACATTTTTGCATTGTTAAAAAGTAAACATGGTATACCTCGACAATAAACACACATACATGTATAACTAAACTAAATGACACCTGGACAATTTTCCATCAAAACACCATAAAAGCTTTTAAGAAGCTATTTTTTTTTTACATGATTATTTAATTTTTACTTGTGCAAAACGTCCAAGAAATATCCCACCCCATGAAATTCCAAGGGGGTGGGGGTCTCAACAGCTAACATTTTTTAAAATTAAAAAAATTAAATTAAATAAAATTAAATTAAATTAAAACTAGGAAACTAAACTGGTAATTCCAGAGGGGGATTTTAAATTAGAAACCTTTCCATGGGGGAAATGGAGATTTTCTGGAACAATGAACATTAAATTAACAAATTTAATGTATGCTAAGTTTCCAAATGCAAGGTGGGTGCCTTAAACTAATGAAATTATTCATATTCATTCTATTAAGCTAGATTGTAAATGTACATTTGCAAGTACAGAGTGACACTGTATGCACAACCAGGTGCCTAAAAACATACGACAAAAGCAAAGATTAACCAACCTTTGGCTGAAGATGTCAGCACACTCCTCTGGGCTCCATACTCTTTGGTCCTGCAAACCATTATCTGCCTCTTTTTCTTCATTATTACATGCTGAAAAATAGTAGTAAAAAAAAAATTATAATTTACAACTCAGAGATAATCTGTGACCCAGCCATTAATAATTATATTAAATAAAATTGTAAATCTGACCAATCACAGTCATTTGCAGCACTACCACACACTAGACAGTATCGATACCCCATAAATTTTGTGTTAAAACCATTTACTATGCCATAGTACATTAAGATGAGCAAACACGAGAGGACAAGTTCCAGCGACTGGTCCCTGCAACAGGTTCTGGATTTAGAAACCTTTTGATTCCTTCAGTAGGTAACAGTCACAAATGATGAAATACAAATAAAATATTAGACAACAAACAATACTGTTCTAAAATACACTTAGAATGAGATACAAATTTGGTAAAGCAATGTGATTCACTAGCATCCAGTACTCACAGAAAGACCTCCTTTTTTGGGTGAGGAGGGGGATGAAGTCATTTTTTAAAACTTAACAGTAGTCTATTGGATATGAAATAATCTCTAAGAAATAGAAAGAAAATTTAACAGTTTATTAAGTAGAATACCGTCTAAAGCCTGGTTCTCATATGCCGCAGATATACCTAGGACATAGCCACCATCACTTCCTTGACCGCCAGCATTGATCACCGCCTTGCCTGCAAAGTTGAGCTAAATTCAACTTCGCATGCAAGCTGTGGTTGTCGGCGGTTGTCTGCGAAGAAAATACTTTTATGTGAACATCATCTGGACCATCTGCGGATGCAATGTATTACATAACAACTCAATTTTTTCCCACAATTCCATACTTTACAGATGGAATGGTTGAATTAAATTGTGCCAATTTGATTTGGATTTCACATCAATTTGAGTATGTCAGCGATCCATCGCAGATGCACCGGGGACCCACCAGAACAGATTGCCAAACATCATCACTTGCAACCAGCGCCTACGTCGCGGGTAGGTCGGCGGCATATGAGAGCCAGGCTTAACAGTTAAGGTCATTATCTCATCCAGATGAAATGCTATGGTAGATGTTTATATTATAGAATGATAGACGTACGTTTCTCCTCACCTTTTTGAATACTTTCCCAGTCAAGTGGCACAGGAGGTTTCCTCTTTCTCCAAAGCTTATCCATTGATAAAAGGTACTTTATGTCTTCACTGAACAACTGAATGAGATCCAAACAGAAACAAATCATGAATGAGACAAGGTCAGTTTTAACTCTGCTCACACATAATTATACTACAGGTAAATTGTAGGACAAGAACTGATCATGGGGAAAGTGAGTCATTTGTTTTGTAACTTTTCAGCCTAAGTTAAAACAACTCTCCCTCTCCAGACCCCAGTTGCTGAACATTCACTGTAGTATATAATATATTCCAGGCAGGTTCCATACTGAAGTGGCATCCCCTACAGAGATTCTTAAAGTGTATCTGTTTGGCTCTTATTCTTACTTTTTAACTCTTTCAGCAATACCACATGGACCCCAAAATTCCATATTACATGTACAACAAATTGCAAGCTGGGTGATACTGGGAAAATACTGGCTTGGTTTTGACAGTACAGGTCAAGTACAATGAGGTCCATTTTCTTGCAGTACTGGCCTGAGCAAGCTTGGTTTTGAAGTGATAAATTACAGGAACTGCAAATGAGCTGTAAAAATGTCATTCTGATTGGAATACATGATTGTACTTTTGGCTATTGATCCTCTTAATCATCTTTGTCACATTATGATAATAACATTCTTAATCAGTGTGGAATATACATGTAGATGTGTAATTTATGTTTTCAGGTTGATTCTTACATATACATGAACACAATCATCTCTCCACACAAACGTACCTAGAAATGTGCATTGACTCAGACTAGACGACAACAACCACAACAACAACAACAACAACAATTCATAACTTACTTTATTGAACAATTTAACAGGATCATATCCTATCTCCTCTGCCCATGTTCTTGTTGATGCTCTCTCAATACCTCCAGCAGCATTCTCTTTCTCTTGATTCTGCACTGCCTTTTCTCCAGCCCCTCCAACAGCCTCTGGATCCTCTGTATCAGGAGACACCTCTTCATCTGCATCAGCCTCGCCGAACAGTTGGCTGTAACATACCAGAGAGTATACTGCACATCAAGCATACATTACACAGTCAGTCTGATTGTTGTTGTCAAAACACCAATTCACACATACCATATAAAATAATTTCTCTAGTTTCTAATCTTTTTTAATGTCATGTATAAACATTTTGCTTGCATGCTATACATACTTGAAAAGATGTTTTGCCCAGACAATACAGTGTATAGGTTCTGAAGGAGTATTTCTGATGGTGCAGCCAGGAAATGTTTTCTGGGTTGGTTTGGGCTGGCACTCGTAACACTCTGTCACACCCTGTTCATTGAAAAGAGAAACAGAATGATGGAATACAAATTTGTCAAGAGCGTATCATCCATTCAGTGGTTTTATTTTCATAGTGACAGCTGTTAAGGTCGACTTTCAATCAAAAGTTATATCCCCTAGTATAGTCTTCCATTGCTTAGGGTATCCTGTAAAATTCCTAAATACTAGTCTAACCTAAGCCCTCTTTTGTGGACGTTTTCCAGGAGGGTTTACAATTGTGTGCGCTTGTTTTTGGATGGGATTATTATGTAAATTTGCATAATTTCAACAATAGTCAAGCTTTCAGAGGTTCAGAGATCAACGTGAAACATAAAATAAGTAAAATGCAAAACTCCGGGCTGAAATATTTAATTTATTTAACAATTGAAATTATTAGACTATGAGCCTGACTTAACTATTCATGAGCGACTGTTGTCAACAGGCAAAGTCGAGATGACTATTGCTCATACAAAACACGGGTGGGAGTAGTCAATTTTTTTTGTTAGTACATACTCTAAAGGTTAACAGCACGAAACCTACAATTTTGTGTATTAAACCTAAACTTAAGAATAGTTTTCAGTTCCAAGAGTAGGGCACGCCGATCATTTTTTATCAGCAATTACATAAATCTACTAGAGTTCTATCACGAATGCCATTCTCTGATTGGCTACGCTACTCACTATTTACTCTGTTGTAGATAGTGAGTAACCTACAGTGAATGCTTGTTAGCAAACTGGCGGCTGCTTCCTTGCATTTAGTGTCTGTGATCAGGATTTAGATGAAGTTTTGAACAACTAGTAGATTTATTATTATACCAAAACTATTAGTAAGATTATTCCCTCTTGATTTCTATGCATGATAGTTGACAAGGGCGCAGCCTGAGTCAAAAAATTGTTAAATAGAAAATGGTGAGAGAACCAATCAGATTTGCAGATTTCAAAGAGAACACAGCTGAGTACCCTACCAAAATAAATGTAAGTTATTAATGACACACATGTACAGTAGAAAACAAACCCAGCAGTCACAGGCTTTTTTTAAAAAAAGCATCAAATTTGTGTCAGTGTCTAATTGCAGAGTAAAATGCATTAAAATATATTTAGTATTGATACCTTTTTAATAACAGTGGCCTGTCCAAGATAGCCAGCAGTACCACTTTCCACCAGTGGCACGTCTGCTGCCAGACACATTCTATTGACATGGTTTCTGGCAGCTAATATACCAAACAAAAAAAAAACCATTCAAATTAAACATACATGTAAAGAATATTAACCTGTTCCGTACATTTAAGACTTTTCACTTACTGGATTCCTCTTTTTGTAAAATCAAACAGCTACATGTATGCTAAGTACTTGTGTGACATGGTGGTAACCTGGAGTAACCCTGTGATGGAGTACTTAAGTGGCAGTCCCCCTAAAAGCGGTCCACTTGACTTCGGGACCAAAAATAATTTTCCTTCATTTTTTGTCAGTGAAAAGGGTTTGACACATATATAAAAAAGCAATTTATTATTTTCTAATTCCTTATTTTTGCTTTGCTACGAGCCAAAATTGAATTTTGGCCAAACTGAGGTTGCCGACCGTGATCAGAAAGGTAAAATTCACCGATTTTGTGAAGCGTGCTACGTCGCCTAAAATGCAGCTCATGGAATTTCGTTTTCATTCGAATTTTAAGTCACATTCATTACTTTGACTAACGAAATATGGAAACTTTTCAAAAAATTCTAAGCTTACCAGCGAGGCTGGAAGACACCCTACTCCGAGGCCTTTGATCACCTACTAAAATTTAGCCAAATTTGACGGGGAAAATCTCA